AATATATAAAAAATACTGAGCGCAAGAAGTACCAGAGGGGTCCACCCACTAGCCATGAGGGTGGGGGCCCTCCGATGCCCATCTTCTGCTATATGGAGTCTTTCGTAGAGAAAAAAATCATAAGCAAGCTTTCGGGACGAGACTCCGCCGCCACGAGGTGGAACCTTGGCGGAACCAATGTAGGGCTTCGGTAGAGCTGTTCTGCCGGGGACACTTCCCTCCGGGAGGGGGAAATCATCACCAACGATCCTCTCATTGGGAGGGGGTCAATCTTCATCAACATCTTCACCAGCACCATCTCATCTCAAACCCTAGTTCATCTCTTGTATCCAATCTTTGTATCCAAACCTCATATTGGTACCTGTGGGTTGCTAGTAGTGCTGATTACTCCTTGTAGTTGATGCTAGTTGGTTTACTTGGTGGAAGATCATATGTTCAGATCCATTATGCATATTAATACCCCTCCGATTATGAACATGAATATGCTTTGTGAGTAGTTATGTTTGTTCCTGAGGACATGGGAGAAGTCTTGCTATTAGTAGTCATGTGAATTTGGTATTCGTTTAATATTTTGATGAGATGTATGTTCTCATCCCTCTAGTGGTGTCATGTGAACGTCGACTACATGACACTTCACCATTGTTTGGGCCTAGAGGGAGGCATTGGGAAGTAATAAGTAGATGATGGGTTGCTAGAGTGACAGAAGCTTAAACCCTAGTTTATGTGTTGCTTCATAAGGGGCTGATTTGGATCCATATGTTTATGCTATGGTTAGCTTTACCTTAATACTTCTATTGTAGTTGCGGATGCTTGCAATGGGGGTTATTCATAAGTGGGATGCTTGTCCAAGTAAGGACAGCACCCAAGCACCAGTCCACCCACATATCAAATTATCAAAGTACCGAATGCGAATCATATGAACATGATGAAAACTAGCTTGACGATAATTCTCATGTGTCCTCGGAAGTGCTTTTCTCTATATAAGAAATTGTCCAGGCTTGTCCTTTGCTATAAAAAGGATTGGGTCATCTTGCTGCACTTTATTTACACTTGTTACTTGTTACTCGTTACCAATTACCTTATCACAAAACTATCTGTTACCGATAATTTCAGTGCTTGCAGAGAATACCTAGCTGAAAACCGCTTATCATTTCCTTCTGCTCCTCGTTGGGTTCGACACTCTTACTTATCAAAAGGACTACGATAGATCCCCTATACTTGTGGGTCATCAATACATACGGATCTGAATGTTGCAGACCCGTTGACTAAGCCTCTCTCATGAGCAAAACATGATCAGCACCAAGACTTCATGGGTGTTAGAATCATTACAATGTAATCTAGATTATTGACTCTAGCGCACGTGGGAGACTGAAGGAAATATGCCCTAGAGGCAATAATAAAGTTGTTATTTATATTTCCTTATATCATGATAAATGTTTATTATTCATGCTAGAATTGTATTAACCGGAAACTTAGTACATGTGTGAATACATAGACAAATAGAGTGTCACTAGTATGCCTCTACTTGACTAGCTCGTTAAACAAAGATGGTTAAGTTTCCTAACCATAGACATGAGTTGTCATTTGATGAACGGGATCACATCATTAGAGAATGATGTGATTGACTTGATCCATCCGTTAGCTTAGCACTATGATCGTTTAGTTTATTGCTATTGCTTTCTTCATGACTTATACATGTTCCTATGACTATGAGATTATGCAACTCCCGAATACCAGAGAAACACTTAGTGTGCTATCAAACGTCGCAACATAACTGGGTGACTATAAAGATTCCCTACTGGTGTCTCCGATGATGTTTGTTGAGTTGGCATAGATCGAGATTAGGATTTGTCACTCCGATTGTCGGAGAGGTATCTCTGGGCCCTCTCGGTAATGCACATCACTATATGCCTTGCAAGCAATGTGACTAATGAGTTAGTTGCGGGATGTTGCATTACAGAACGAGTAAAGAGACTTGCCGGTAACGATATTGAACTAGGTATTGAGATAACGACGATCGAATCTCGGGCAAGTAACATACCGATGACAAAGGGAACAACGTATGTTGTTATGCGGTTTGACCGATAAAGATCTTCGTAGGATATGTAGGAACCAATATGAGCATCCAGGTTCTGCTATTGGTTATTGACCAGAAGTGAGTCTCGGTCATGTCTACATAGTTCTCGAACCCGTAGGGTCCGCACGCTTAACGTTCGATGACAATGGGTATTATGATTTTATGTGTTTTGATGTACCGAATGTAGTTCAGAGTCCCGAATGTGATCACGGACATGACGAGGAGTCTCGAAATGGTCGAGACATAAAGATTGATATATTGGAAGGCTATGTTTGGACATCCGAATGGTTCCAGATGTGTTCGGGCATTTACCGGAGTACCGGGGGGTTACCGGAACCCCCCGGGGAGTCAATGGGCCTTATTGGGCCTTAGTGGTAGAGAGGAGGAGGCGGCCAGGTGGAGCCCCCCCCCCCCAAGCCCAATCCGAATTGGGTGGGGGGTCGGCCCCCCTTTCCTCCCCTCTCTCTCCCTCTTCCTTCTTGTCCTACTCCAACTAGGGAAGGGGGGAACCTACTCCTACTGGGAGTAGGACTCCCCCTTGGGCGCGCCATCGAGAGGGCCGGCCCTCCCCTCCTCCCCTCCTTTATATACGGGGGAGGGAGGGACCCCATAGACACACAAGTTGACAGTTGTCTTAGCCGTGTGCGGTGCCCCCCTCCACAGATTTCCACCTTGATCATATCATTGTAGTGCTTAGACGAAGCCCTGCGTCGGTAACTTCATCATCACTGTCATCACGCCGCCGTGCTGATGAAACTCTCCCTTGGCCTCAGCTGGATCAAGAGTACGAGGGACGTCACCGAGCTGAACGTGTGCAGATCACGGAGGTGCCGTGCGTTCGGTACTTGATCGGTTGGATCGCGAAGACATTCGACTACATCAACCGTGTTTCATAACGCTTCCGCTTTCGGTCTACAAGGGTACGTAGACATACTCTTCCCCGCTTGTTGCTATGCATCACCTAGACGGATCTTGCGTGTGCGTATGATTTTTTTTGAAATACTACATGCCCAAACAAATACGACCCTCACCCTGGTCGAGCACAAAGATATGTTTCTTCCTATACCTCTCATTAGCGAGCGTATTAAAGTATTTCGCATTATCATTTCTGTGAGCCAAAAACTATAACTGTATGCTGATACCATGTAATTTCTTCCTCATGCAAGAGACGGGATATCCGCTTGTTTAATTGGCTTTTTTCTCAATATCTAGATAGGATAGTGGTCGTACCTCCGTGATATTATTGAGCTTGTCAATCATGGAAGGCAACATCAATGTTTCGCTTTTATTGATCGACGATATGCTTAGCCCATCCATGTAGGAATCATCGCAATCATGGATCCTAGAATTCCATCGTTGAATGGGTGTATTACCTCATTGTTATCTAGCCCAAACTTTCTTAACCAGATCGGCAAAGCCCTCACTAGTAAGCCATCTCAACTCGAGTTTGAACTTAGGATGTTTACTTGATTGGGAAGTTTGATCAAAATCACTTAGCAGTTGAGCATGACCCGATAAAGCATTTATTCTTTGCAATGCCCGTAATGAATATAGAGGAAACTTATATTCCTTGTTGGTGGTTACTAGAACCCGGTCAAGTTTTTCATAAGTGGGAACCGGTTGACTGTCCAGCCAAGTACACTCGCGACCAAACACGGTGATCTTCCATAGGTCCAAGCTATGAATGACATAACTGAACATGAAAGGTCATCGCTTGTCCAACCGGTCACTGCTCTTCTCACGTTGATAACAAAATACCCCCCCCCCCCCAAAATGAACATTGGATGTTGGTTATCATGAGATGTATAACAATTTTCTTAAGGAAAACAAAACAAAACTCCTCTTAAGATGCGCCATACACGACTACCAAACTCAAAAAGTTGTTAGACTTGTTCCAACCGTGAAACTTAATATGATATTCAACCTTCAACGTAGCCAAAAGTAACATGTATGCTGAGTGGATGCGAGGCAAGATTGCATTGAACCTCACAGAGTAGGGTAAAACGCGCAACACACAATTGTAACCACACGAAAAGTGGTCTAGAACATGTGTCGGGAAGTCACATTTACCGGACATAGTAATGGTACCCCTCGCATAATCGATGATGTTGTTATGTTTAGCCAAGTCACTAAACATCCGCTATTCCAAAACATGCCTCTCATGATGAATCACGATTAGATTGAGAGACATTTGCCTTCTTGGACATGTATCAACAACCTTAAACAATACATTTTTAAGACCTTATTATTTTTCGAGGTCATTCTCTTCAGCCTGTGTCAGTAGTGCTAGTTTTGAGTTTCTTTCAAGTACCTTATCTACTAGGGGGGTCTACAGAAAGGCATAGAGAAATTTTTTTTTTTTACGATGGACAATTTATGTTGGAATTGCTTTGCTCTTTTCTTTATAGCTCAAGCAAATAAGCTTGAAAAAATGATTTTATTTGAGTGAGGTCCGGCCTTCCATGCCCGTGGCTACTTAATCATTGATCCGACGGCCAAGATCAGCTGCTTCTTCGGAAAGGGAACTGCGGGGGAGACACCCGGCCTGTTCATTGTATATGTAATTTTGTCCAATCTAGAATAATAATGTATACCTATCCGATTTCTCCCAGAAAAATAACATATCGTGATCAGAAATTAAAAGACACAGTTCCAACATGCGAAATTCCTTTTCGAAGGAGAAAAACATACAAAATCCGGTCTACCAGCAAAACGGCAGAATAACAGAGTACAGCTCGGTTCCTTGCCCGCACGTATGGCACGCCGTACAAATTTCCACGATTTCGCGACTGCGTGCAGGCACGACTTGGCCCGAAGATTGAACGATATATGTTCCTCCTCAATCATCACCGGCTGATCTAACTGCCACACTGATTGATCCAATCCGACGTACATTAGTGCACACTATAAATCCACTCGCCCCATGCCATCTTCTGCAGAGCTCACCCAAGAAGAGAGCACTGCTACAAGGCAAAGCGAAGCGAAGGCAATGGCTTCTGCTGCGTCCAAGTCCGCGGCCGTCTTGGTCCTCCTCGTCTCCCTTGCCGGCGTGGCCACCACCGTGGACGCCAGGTTCAGGGCCATGCAGTGGACTCCCGCCCACGCTACGTTCTACGGCGACGAGGCCACAGCCGAGACGATGGGTACGTCGCCTGCACCGCACACGTACTACATTGGTCAATGACCATGCATGCTTATTCCTTGTTATGCTGATGTATCGTGCTTGTGTTCTCGCAGGCGGGGCGTGCGGGTACGACATCACGGCGGGGTACGGCGCGGACACGGCGGCGCTGAGCTCGACGCTGTTCCTGGACGGCTACGGGTGCGGGACGTGCTACCAGATCCGGTGCGTCGGAGCTACGGCCTGTTACAGGGGCTCGCCGGTGATCACGGTGACCGCGACCAACCTGTGCCCGCCCAACTGGGCGCAGGACACCAACAACGGCGGCTGGTGCAACCCACCGCGCACCCACTTCGACCTCGCCATCCCGGCCTTCAAGAAGATGGCCGACTGGCATGCGGGCATCGTCCCCGTCATGTACCGCAGGGTGCCGTGCATGCGCAAGGGCGGGATCCGGTTCGCGTTCCAGGGCAACCCGCACTGGCTGTTGGTGTACGTCACCAACGTCGGCGGCGCCGGCGACGTCGGGGAGATGTGGGTGAAGGGCAATGGCGGCATGGGGTGGCTGCGCATGAGCCACAACTGGGGCGCCTCGTACCAGGCGTTCCGGCAGCTCGGCGGCCAGGCGCTGAGCTTCAAGCTCACCTCCTACACCACCGGGCTGACCATCGTCGCCGCCGACGCCGCGCCGGCGAGCTGGAGCATCGGGCTCACGTACCAGGCTCGCGCCAACTTCAAATAGGAGTCCAAGCGAAGGTCTGAGGCACAGCACAAGAAGCAGGAGCTGTAACACTGACAACGCTCTGCGGTGCTATGCTGGGATGATCGTTGCCCTCTACCGTTTTCGTTGCGTCGTTCCTTATTTTCAGTTCTCTCTAGGACCACTCTCGCGCGTTGCCCCCGTCCATGTGAAGAGCGGGGGGTTTGACGCACGCACTGACAGTGAAACTCTGCAGCACGATCAAAGCAAAAGATTTGCAGATTGTATTGTGCCTAAAAAGCTTAGTTCAATTAAGAATTTTCCGCGTGCACGTCTTTGTATACAATCAGAGGTGGCTGGTGGATAGACTAAAGACTAAAGTTGGTACAGCCCTAAGGCCAACTCCAATCGGCCGAACCAAACGGACGTTGGATTTGTCCGCTTTCTATTTGTTTAGGTGGTCAGGAGGGGCGGTGTCTACCCCTTGTCCGCTCTTTTCTGACCGGTGCCTCCAACGGGTAATCCATTTGATCCGCACCGCTGTTTTTTATCTAAATTTTCTTATTTTAGACATTCTACACATTTACATCAAATAAACAAATGAACGAAACATCATTATTAAATAAATAAGTCAGATAATTTACAACCAAACAAATAGAAATCACATAGTTTTACAACCACATAAATTTAAAATTATAGCAAATAAATTGAAAGAAAAAGAGCAGATATAACATTGGTTTTTTATGTGAGTCCACATATGTTCAACCAAATCATTTGAAGTTGAATGTGAGTTGCTTGATCACGTATTTCATGATGAAATTGGATGAACTGTGCAAAAGTTGCCGCTTCTCCCTCGAGCTCAACCAACTCATCCTCATAATCCCATATTTGGTCATAGAAGTTGTCATCACGCTCATCCTCTACGATCATGTTATGCATGATCACACAACCTGTCATTACCTCCCATGTAGTGCTAGTGCTCCATGTTCTAGTAAGACACCGAACAATAACCCAACAAGATTGGAGCACACCAAATGCACGCTCCACATCATTTCTAGCACTCCCTTGTTCTTTGGAAAACCTAGCCCTCTTCTCTCCTTGGGGCTCGGAGATTTTCTTCATAGAATGTAGACCATTGAGGATATATAGGTAGTATCCCTCTTGTTCTAATTGTGGCCATTGATCATAGTTGATCTCTGGGCATTGGCCTTCCGAAAGCCTCGAGAACACCGATGTCGGTGTGAAAATAGCCATACCTCGGGTTAGGTGGTCCCGAGTTGTGGATCTTGTACAGATGGTAACAAGAACAAGGAGCTAATGTTTACCCAGGTTCAGGCCCTCTTGCTGGAGGTAAACCCTGTGTCATGCTCTTGTTTATATTGATATGGATGTATCGAGTACATAGTTGATTTACCTCAAGATCGTAAGATGTGTTCTAACTCTCGGACTAGGTGAATGAGATTGCGTTGATGTCCCCTCTATGGGCTAAACCCTATGGCTTATATACACGCCAGGTAGGGTATCTAGGGTTACAAGGTTGGTATCTTAGCGTGGAGGCAGCATGAGAAGTCTTGGAGTATACGTCAAGCCTTCGGTAGATGCAGTCCTGATCACGCCCCGTCGTGCAACTTCTGGAGTCCATCTTGAGAAGAATGAAGGCCCGTTAGCCCAATCCGAGGAGCATGGGTAGACTAGGTTAGTACCCCCTAGTCCAGGACACCGTCAGTAGCCCCTGAACCGGTCTTCGATGTCGAGGATGACGTTCTTGGACTTCGGTTCCGGAGTCTTTGGCTCGGTAGGCAAGTTCCTATGAATGATTCCTCTAGCTCAGTTTTAAAAAGTCTTCGGCTAGGTTGGCGACCCTGTCGGGCGGGCCCGACCCTGTCGCACATGGCGTCTAATCTTTGACCTTGGTAACCACATTTTATGGGGAATTGGACTGCTTTATGGCGCAAGGTCAAAGCGTCGGCCCTTTCCCCTTTTTATTTGCAAGCCGGGAGTGTGGATTTGCCACACACCCCAACTCTTGTTTCCAAGAAAATCGCGCAAGTGCTCCCCTTCTCCAAAGTCCAACCCTGAGAGCTTATCATGGCGAGCTAAGCGGGATCTTCGAGGTGCCCTCACGGCCCTGTCAGAGGCGACTGGGGCAGTTGCGGCGTCTCACGCATCCAACTGGAGCGCCTGGCCAAGCAAGGATATTTGCCAGATTCAGATCTAATAGAGACCCGCTCCGGATTGACATCCATGAATGGAAAAGTGCACGCAAAGAATCATCCTTCTCCTCAAGAGGGCAAAAGGGTATGCTTCATCTCCTTCTTACTACGTGGCCTAGGGTTTCCCATTCACCCCTTCCTTCGGGGCCGATTGGAGTTCTATGGACCGCAACTTCACCATTTTACCCCAACTCGATTTTACATATCGCAGGGTACGTAGCCCTTTGCGAGATGCACCTCGGATGCGAGGCGCACTTCGGGCCATGGAGAAAGTATTTCTGCGTAGTGCCTTGCTCTCCTGACAAGAAGTTAGATGAGATTGGGGTAGCCGAAGTTTGCCGAATTGAGGGGACCGAATACCCATCAGGCACACCTCGGGAGGATACCGACGGCTGGCCAACCAAGTGGTTTTACATAGGCGATGTTCCCCTCCTTGACCCAGTTCGGCCTGGACTCCCTCGTTCTCCATGGAACCCTCGAAGAGGCGTTATAAATGGAGGTCGCAGGGCCCTGCCCAAGAGGAAAGTGCCGAGGTAACGAAGCTGGGAGCTCGGGTGAACCAATTGACGAGCACTAGCCTTACTATAATAGATGTAATGGCCACGGTGATAAACCGAAGAGTCCAGCCACTTCGGCAGCGCCCTCATCTGTTGTGCAGGTTCAACGGGACCGAAGACTCTTCGCAAACAATTCAGGATAGTTTCTACGACCAAGCAGCCTTAGGAGCAACGCTAGCCAGCATCTATCAGGGGGCGACGGAGGACTTCGCCCAGCGACAATTCTGAGATGGGTTGTCCTACTACAATCCCGCTGACATGGTAAGTTTTCCCTGAGTTTCTCGTCCATCCGAGTTGTTTTAATATCTGATTAGCCGTTTACTGGTTCTGAACGGAGATGGAGGCGTTGGGTTGAGTCCACAAGCAGCCCGGCACCCGAGCAAGAGCTGCACCGCCGAGCATAGGACCCCCTTTTTAATGAGGACGAGGATTTAGCCCTTATTAATGAAGGCGGGAAATTTTATCTGGGAATTCTTAACGGATAAAGGGTGGCCATTGCCCCCAACGTGTTGGGGACGAGGCCAGCTTCATCGGTAACGCCCCTTCCTCTAATCTAAAACGAGTTGCTTGCCCTTCAGCCCCTAGTCGTCTGACTTCTCCTCCAAAGGGACGGCGTTCCAAATGTCCACTTAGAGAAACGGCTCTACAAGGGAGGCCCCCAAGGGAGGCGCAAGAAGTGCAGGCTGAGGTCATGGGGGTAGGTGAAAGTGCCCCCTCAATTACCAGGTAACTCCTTGATTGCTGCATTTGTAAAGGTACCATTGATAACCCACAAGTGTAGGGGGTCGCAATAGTTTTCGAGGGTAGAGTATTCAACGCAAATTTATTGATTCGACACAAGGGTAGCCAAAGAATATTTGCAGGTATTAGTAGTTGAGTTGTCAATTCAACCACACCTAGAGACTAAATATCTGCAGCAGAGTGATCAGTAGCATAGTAATATGATAATTTGATAGCAATAGTAGCAATAGCAACAATAACGGTAACCGTAGCAGTGATATGTTTGTAGCAATTGTGACAGTAGCAGCAACAATAGTAACTTAGCAAAGATCAATATGTGAAAAGCTTGTAGGCATTGGATCGGTGACAACGTTGGGTAACATTCATCATGTAACAGTCATAACCTAGGGCGACACAGAACTAGCTCCAATTCATCAATGCAATGTAGACATGTATTCCGTATATAGTCATACATGCTTGCGATAAGAACTTGCATGACATCTTTTGTCCTACCCCTCCATGGCAGCGACGCCCATAATGAAACTAAGGGATATTAAGGCCTCCTTTTAATAGAGAAACGGAACAAAGCATTAACACATAGTGAATACGTGAACTCCTCAAGCTACGTTAATCACCGTATAGAATCCCATTTATTGTCATCTTGGGGTATGCGGATCATAACACATAATAGGTGTGTATAACTTGAAAGAGGGGATGTCTTCCGGGGCATCCCCAAGCTTAGTCACTTGGGAGTCCTTGAA